ACTTGTAAGCAAAAGGCTGAAATATAATTTAAATAGGAGCTAACAACTTTACTTCCCAACCGCGGTAGGCATCTACTTCTTTTTTATGCATTACTAAATACAGTCCGTGATACTTCGGTCATGTGGCTACCTGATGTATGGCAAGTACTTGCAAATCCGTCTGGCCTTTATACGTGTGGGATGGCCTTCAGGCCAATTTGTTTATGTGACTACCTGACGTTTGGCAGTCACTTTAGAATTTGTCTGGCCTCTGCGCACGTGGGCTGGCCTTCGAATCACGTTAAGGCCCCATTTACCCTGCCGCTTTCGGTATACGCGTATTCAACTTCACTTATGCCCTCTTCCACCCTTTGGAAAGCCTCGGGACGCTGCACGCTTAATGCCTACTTCTACCAGGTGGTGAGTCTCGAGACGCTACACGGTCCATACGCGATGTCATACAAAGTTCATATGAAAAAGCTGCAACCTGAGGACGATAGTGATGGTGGGGCTACGCCGGGTGTAGCATACTAAGACTTACCGCCAGGTGGAAGAAGGAATTAAATTTGGCTAAAAGCATGCATTCAAGGAAGAAAGAAAAGAATGAACCTTGGCTGAACTCAGGCGTAAAAGGGCAAGATGAAAACCAAAGTCATCACCAGACATTGGGCGGTCACATAAATAAAGCTTTGCACTGAACTTTCCATTTATCCATAGAAGGCAATAGACATGGCTCAATACCTGCAATGTGACAAAAAAGTGCGGTTGCAAGTGAAATGCGAGGACTCTTCTTTGGACGATCTCGGATAATATAGGTCTAGTTCTACCTCTTTTAATTACACCTTCATAGGATTGCCGAATAAATTCTAGCCTAATTGTCCTCTTTCTAAGAAGGCAGAGAAGGCAGAAAGGAAGCGCAACAGTAGTTGTATCGCCCCGAGATTTTTCGCCAGGAGGGAGATAGTGAGCTAAGCTGAGTGCATGTACTCTAGGAGATAAGTGTAATGCTTTGTTTATGTGACTATCTGACGTTTGGCGGTCACTTTAGAACTCGTCTAGGTCCAGTACGCGTGGGCTGGCCTTCGGGCCACGCTCGGGCTCCCATTTCTCCTATTGTTTTTGGAATACATGTATTCAACCTCATTTATGCCTTCTAGTACCCCATTTGGAGCCTCGGGACGCTACAATTGTAATATATTCTAGTTTGTTTAAGTGGACTTTG